GATAGTTTATGTATACTATCTTATGACCTTATGTATTGATGATAACATGATGATACATACATTTTGTGAACACATCCGCAGTGCTGTGATTAGTCATATGTTTATATGATGATTTATGTTATGAATCGGTATATCTGACTTTTGATTTTGTGATGAGCATTATAATGCAAAGTGATGAAAAACACGAATATGTGATACCTCAACTTATGTTTGGATGAAATTTTGAAACTCTGATTTTATTATTAATTACGAGAGGTAGAATTGGGGTGTTACAAAAGCCATCAGCGTCAGATGGATTTTCAAACAGAAGTTAAAACCAGATGGATCAATTGCCAAACACAAAGCAAGATTAGTAGCAAGTGGCTTTCCACAGAAACTTGGGATGGATTACTTTGAAGTGTTTGCCCCTATAACGAGACATGAAACAATCAGACTAGTGATTGCAATAGATGCTAACAGGAATTAGCCTCTGATGCATTTAGATGTAAAATCTGCATTTCTGAATGGTCCATTACAAGAAGAGGTATTTGTATCACAACCTCTTGAATTTGAGAAAAAGAATCAGGAAGGGATGGTGTTTAAATTACACAAAGCCTTGTATGGATTTAAGCAAGCACCCAGAGCTTAGAATTTTAAGATTGATTCATTTTTCAAGGAACAAAGGTTTCAGAAGTGTGAGATGGAGTATGGTGTTTATGTTCAGCACACTTCAGAAGGTAATATGATTTTGGTCTGTTTGTATGTTGATGACATATTACTCACAAGAAGTTCTGAACAAGTGATAGCTGAGTTCAAGAAGGTTCTGATGAATGCGTTTGAGATGACAGATCTTGGGAAAATGAGTTTCTTTCTAGGGATGAAATTTATGTACTCTGAGAAAGGAATCATTTTGGATCAGATGAAGTATGAACTAGAGCTTCTGAAGAGATTTGAGCTAGAAAATTGCAAAATTGCAAAATTTGCTATGCAGTTGGAATGGTTAGCATATTTATGAGTAAACCAAAGTGGTCTCATTACCAAGCTGTTGTCAGGATTCTGAGGTATGTAAAGGGAACTCTGAAGTATGAAGTGTTATTTCTGTCTGGAAGAAAGATCGAATCAGAACTTTTGAGTTATTCAGACTCTGATTGGTGCGGAGATAGAGTGGATAGAAGAAGTACTTCTAGGTACTTATTCAAATTTATGGGAGGTCCTATTTCTTGGTGTTCCAAGAAGCAAACTGTTGTTGCGCTGTCAACCTGTGAAGTTGAATATATTGCAGGTGCTCTGACTGCATGTTAAGCTGTGTGGATTCTGAACTTGCTGCAAGATCTGAAGATTAAAGTAGACAAATCTCTGAAGCTGATGATTGATAACAAGTCTGCAATCAATCTTGCCAAGAACCCAGTGCTGCATGGGAGAAGCAAGCATATTGAGACCAAATATCAATTTTTGAGAAATCAAGTTCAGAGCGGAATATTAGAAGTTGAGCACTGTAGCGCCCAGAAGTAGCTGGCGGATGTTCTGACAAAGGCTATCAAGACTGATCAATTTCTTCGTTTGAGAGATTGAATTGGTGTTGTCAGTTTTGGGTAAATATAAATTAAATGATGGTGTTAGATTTAATTTATATTTTAGATATTGATTTATATTTAGGAATATCTTTTAGAGGATATTATTATATCTTTTTATATCTTTGTTAGAAGATATAATTTTGCGTATAAATAACCTAATGGAGTAGGTTATTGTAATTAATTGTAAATCCTTATTTTGAAGTTGTCAGTAAATATATTTCTTTTCCTTTTATCTCTTCCTTGTGCACCAACATGCTGTTAAGAATGTAACAAATTAATCCTAACAGAGTTAGTTACAATCAAAGAACTAATACAAGCCAAAAGTAACTACTAACTGTATAATGCTATATCACTAACACCCCCTCAAACTGAAGGGTGAGAAGCATCATATACCACCTTAAGTCTTCCACAAAAATCTTGAAAGGAGGTTGTCCCAAGGGCTTTGGTAAGAGTATCAGCAAGTTGGAGAGCGGCTAGTACATGTTGAATGGGCATTTTTCCTACGACAACCCGTTCTCTAACAAAGTGTGTGTCTAATTTAATATGTTTTGTATGCACATGCTGAACTGGATTATGAGAGAGCAAGACAACACTAATATTATCACACAACAAGGTGGATGGATAAATAGGAATGCAGGGTATTGATAATAGAGATTTGAGCCAAAGCAGTTCAGACGTGGTGTGTGCTAACACGCAGTATTCTGCTTCAGTAATGGAGCATGCCATTAAAGACTGTTTCTTCGAGCTCCAGGAAACTAAATTTGGCCTAAAGAAAATTTAGAACCCAAATGTAGATCTTCTATCATCTGGGTCACTAGCCCTCAGTCCGAATCACTATACGCACGCAGAGAGAACCTTGAAGTCAAGAGGAAAGGAGATAACATTAAACCATATTTGATGGTACCGCTGAGATATCTCATCATTCTTCTAACAGTAGCCCAGTGAGTATCTAAAGGACATGCCATAAATTGGCAGGCTTTATTCACACTAAAAGAGATACCAGGCCTGGTCAAAGTCACATATTGGAGGGCCCCTACAACAGATCTGTAAAGTTGTGGATCAGAAAAATGATTTTAACCATGTTTAATTAACTTACAGTTGCTTAACATAGGAGTAGGTACCCCATTTGCATATTCCATCTTTGCTCTTGTGAGCAGATCCTTGACATATTTGGATTGGGTAAGGAACATGGAACCATTGTGACAGAACTTTACCTCAATACCAAGAAAGTAGTTAGGTCGACCCAACCTTTTTAAAGCAAACTCATGATGTAGCTTGTTGATCAAAGTCTGTTTAAGTGATGTGTTAGTGACAGTGATCAATATATCATTAACATAAACTAGAATATATAAAGACACACCAAGTTTGGAGTATACAAATAGAGAGTTATCACATTTAGATGATGTAAAACCAAACTAGACCAGAGCCTTAGTGAGATTCTCATACCAGGCCCTTGGCGCCTGTTTAAGACCATAGATAGCTTTATGCAATTTACAAACTAGAGTTTTGTCAGACTGCACAAACCCAGCTGGTTGTTTCATGTAGACCTCATCATGAATAGTATAATTTAGAAAGGCATTGTTGGCATTAATTTGTAGGATGTCCCATTTATGTGTGAGAGCAAGAGTGAGAATCACCCTAATGGTTGTAGGTTTTACAACAGGATAAAATGTTTCAGTATAATAAAACCCTTGCTCTTGATGAAATCCCTTTGCCACAAGTCTGGCTTTGTACTTTTGAATTGTCCCATCAACATTTTCCTTGATTTTAAACACCCACCTACAACCAACTACCTTTATGTCAGAGGGTAGAGTAGTGAGAGTCCAAGTATTGTTGGCTTGAAAGGCACTAAACTCATATGTCATATCCTTAAACCACTCAGGTTTGGATAAAGCTTGTTTTACATTAGTAGGTTCAGATTCAGAATGAGCTAAGAATAACCTAGGTTCGGACTTTCCAGTTTTGGCTCTAGTCATCATGGGGTGATTATTTTCTAGGAGATGAGCAACAGGTATACTGGTACCAATGGTGAGGGTTGAGAAGAGTCAGAAATAGGAATGCAGGATGACAAAGTTAGTTCATTGGAACAAAAGGAAGGACTGAGATTTTGAATATGATTAGACTCTCTATGAGGAGTGGTACGGTTGTTATTGACATGCGAAATATTGTCATCAGAACAAAGTTCTTGGGGATTATCCTTAGGATAATTAGGAGTAACATGAGATGAAAGATAAAGTTCATTGTTCATTAGATTCTTTCGACTCGGTGTAACATAGCTAGCACTTTTGAGAGAAAAGGACTCAAATGGTCCAGTATTGTTAACTGTAGGAATGGTTATGACATGAACCAAATTGTGGTTAATATGACTATGTGGACTTTGTCTTGTAGTAGACTGAACTGTGTTTTGTACCAGACTTTGCTGTGTTAGAAGCAACAGATGTGATTTGAGCCAGGTTGGATAGAGGAAGATTTAGGACCACTGGTCCGAGGCATAATCTCAAGAGTGTGATTATTATTATTAACTTCACAAGTAGGGCCTATGTTAGTTATTGGATATTGGCCTGTCAACTTTATGGTAGACTGTGAAGTCATAGGATTAGCCTGGGATAAAGGGGTATCACCTGTCATGGGACTAGGTGAAATGGATATAGGATGAAAGTAAACATTAGTAGGACATGGTACACTATTTGAGACCTTAAATCCAATAGAAGCAGTAGGATTAGGAAACAAGTTAGGAAAGGGAAACAATTTTTCATTAAAAATAACATCTTTTGAGATATAGACTTTCCCATCCTTATTCAAACATCTAAAACCTTTATGTTGAGGAGAAGGGTCGAGATACACACATTCCTGACTCCTCGATTGGAGTTTATGTTTATTACAGGGTCTAAGAAGAGGAAAACATGAGCACCCAAACAACTTTAAGGCAGAGTAATTAGGATCCGCCTCAAATAAAACATGAAATGGAGAGTTAGACTTGGTTAGGGTAGACGAGGATAGTCTGTTAATGATATGCACAAATGTATAAAAACTGTAATCCCAATAGGTCATATGAAGAGCTACATGAGCTAAAAATTTAAGACCCATTTCTACTATCTGCCTATGTTTTCTTTCAACTGTCCCATTTTGATGGGAGGTACGGGGACAAGTTAACCTATGTATGACTCCTAGTTCTGTTAGATACTTAGTAAAATGGCGAAATTCACCTCAAAAATCATATTGACTTTATTTGATAGTGACACCAAATTGTGTTTTGACAAACACAAAGAAGAGCTTAAAGGCATGTAAAGCTTCAGACTTTTGCTTAAGAAGATACATCTAATTGTATCTAGTATGAGCATCCACAAATGCTATATAATACTTAAAGCTAGAACTAGAAGGATTAGGAGAGAGACCCCACAAATCAGTGTATATCAAGTCAAAGAGTGTGTGATAGACTGTATTAGTTAAAGGAGCATAAAGTTTATGTGCCTTTCCAAGATTACATGAGGTACTAAAAGAATGTCCATTTTTATTAACAGAAGAAACATTACACAATTTGAGTATGGAATTGACAGAATTGAAATTGGCATGGCCAAGCCTTTGATGCCACAAAGCACTATTATTACATGTAACTAAACTATGGGAATTAGAATTAGAAGCAACATAGGTTTGGATACCAGTAGGAGTAACCAATTTGGATTTAGAGCTACAAGAACTTATGGTCTCCAAAGGCAGTTGAGAGAAGAAGTACAGTCTACTAGCATCTAGGACTCCTTCAGCAATGACTTTCCTAGAAGCCTGTGATTTGATATAACACTTGTTAGATAGAAACTCAAACATAAAACTGATGTATCTTGTCTCATACTTCAAAAGCATGTTTACACGCAAGAATCCTAGGCAACACAGATTCTAAAATTATGGATAGAAGCCATATGAACACAACTTGATCTTGAACCAGCCAAGATTCATATTCATTAGAAATCATACCTATGACACGATCTTGAGCAGACTTGAACTTTTGTGAAATCTACAGATTCACCACAACTTTATGCATCTTCTGAGAAAAAATCACACCTTCAACTTGCTGATTCTAGGGAAGGTTGTTGTTTTCCTATAGCTTAATCGAGATCTTTGGTCTAAAGGAATTCGTGGATTTGGTCGTACCAAAACCAGTTGATACTTCTTGAGACTGTGGTGGATTTTTGATAACGGAATCTTGATTGTTGTCAAACTCCATTATTGAGCTTTAAAGGACGAAGGCAAGAGCGTGAAGATTGAATGAATCGAATCACAAACAGATATTCACGGAAGCGAAGATGATCTAGAAGCGAATGATATAATGTTAGAGTTACTACGGTAGGATTCTTCACTTTATGAAGTTGACTTCTAATTTATTCAAAAGAGAGAGTAAAAAAAAGGTGAAGATAATATTGTGATTCAATCACTAAAATCCAACTGTACATTGTGAAGAGTATATATATCCTAGCTTACTTAGCTCTGCTATGCTTATCCGTCAAGAATGTAACTAACTAATCCTAATAGAGTTAGTTACAACCAAGGAATTAGTACAAGCCAAAAGTAACTATTAATTGTATAAAGTTATATGTAACACGGTGGGAGAACTGACTTGTGATATTTTGCGTTTGATTGCAATTGTGCGGATAGCAAGAGTCGTCACCAACTTTTCTTTTATACAAAAGGAAAGACTGAAAAGAATAGGAAAGACCTTTAGAGATGTTTTCTTGAGTTCGGGGGTAGATTATGAAAAGGGAAGGTATTAACATCCTTTCATCCATGGTTTTCCATAGGCTCTTAGTTGCTTGCTAGATCACTTGTTTTTGTTGTGCTTTGTGTGGTTTTTGAAAGTATTTTGAAAATATCTTTGTAATAGTTCTCGTTTCTATAAGAACGCGTACAAAGTGTTTGTTTCGAAAATAGTTCAAAGATGTGTTTGTGGAGTTTTTTGTTTTGAAAGTATTTGGAAATATGTTTTTGTAATGGTCCTCGTCTCTATAAGAACGTATACAAAAGCTTTTGTCTTTTTAAAAAAAGGTTTTAATATGAAAGTGTTGGTGTAAAAATGTTTGGTTGTGAGCAAGCGAGCAACTAAGAGCGAATCTACTTACTCAAAAGGTCATAAATGTTTCTTTTCCTCCTCCTTTAAATGTTTCTATCATACCATTAATTTGGTAAGAAGTCCCGTCGTTAGTTGTGAAGGGACATGCGCGAGATGTTGTACAGTCATTGAAGACAACTTGTGAGACGCTTTAGCAATTTTTCGTAAGAGACTAGATCGTTTTATCGAAGGCAACATCGAGGGACTACGATCTTTTTTATCGAAGGGCCTTTTCTAAAGCGTCTCATGTTCGAGGGACATGACTGTATTTCCGAGGCAACGAGCGAGGTTACCCTAGAGGTGCACGTGTGAAAAAGTGTGTTCGATTCAAGTTATTTTGTCTTTGAAATTAGGTTATCTAGCGATTAATTTTGAATCTTGCCATGCACGCCTAATTACTATACAGTATAAGGAAAACAGTAAATTGCGGAAATTAAAATTCTACGCTATTACAGAGCTTTCGGGAATGGGGGTAAACAAGCAATACAATCCAATCCAATTTAAACATAAATAGTTAATTAGACAAAGACAAACTATTAAAGTAAAACTAAAAGGCAAAATAATATTTTTGATATTTATTTGAAAAGTTTGGAAAGAAAAATAAAATTCTATTCTATTTAAAGAAGATAATTAACTAAAGAAATTAAATCAAATATATATATATATATATATATATATATATATATATATATATATATATATATATATATATATATATATATATATATATATATATATATATATATATATATATATATATATATATATATATATATATATATATATATATATATATATATATATATATATATATATATATATATATATATATATATATATATATATATATTATAGTGTTTTTTTATATGAAGAAATTAATCAAACAAATTAAGACTAAAGAACAAAAAAGTTAATTAATTAAATTTTTTTCCTAAATTAAAAATTTGAACTAATCTAATTAAGAAAATTATCTAACAAAGTTACATAATTTAGTAAATTAGTGAAACAAATAAAAACAAACTAAAATATTAAAACAAAACAAGATAGAAAGGTGGTGTTAAACTTAAAATGGGGGGTGATGGGGTAGAAATCTGGATGGGCTTAGGTTTTTTTTAGTACAGGCCCACATACTTAAGAAAATTCTAACATAAAAAATAAAATAATAAAATATAAAATATATATAAAAAAAAAAGGTGGGCCGAACCGGGTCGGGTCGGACCCGGATCCATCCCTTTTCTTCAAATCGTGAAAGGGTTTGTAAAACCCTATATCAGAACAACAACAAACATGAGGCATCACCTCCTCCTTGCTTCACGCGAAGAAACTCCAAAAACTCTCTCTGTTCTTCTCTCTCATTCCATCACCATCACCAACGATTTTGTTCCATCTTCTATCCAAAGGCAAAAACTGTCACTCCAAACGCCTTGGCGACCTTGTTTGCTAATCTGTTTCCTGCTTCCTCTCTTCTGGATTTAGGTGTTGTACGTGTACTACACAGGGTTTACCGATGGCAGTTATGTTACCTTCTTTGGGTCTGTAACTGTTACCGTTAATCTCGTGGTGGTGTTTGTTATGGTTCGTGAGTCATGCGATGTTTGGGGAAGAGAGATAAGTGAAACAGACAAGGAGGTAAATACAAGGTTGGTTTAGTTGAGATTGTTCTTGGTTGAAGAAATCGAGTTCGAAGGTTTTGTTTTGGCTGAGGAGGGTTTGTTACAGGTTTTTTGGACTGTTGCTAGGTGATATATCTTTCATCTTTCCTTTTTCATCTTTCCATGAAATAAAGCAATATTTCTTTTTATACAATTTTCTGAAGGATTTGCACTCTTTTTTTTGGAAAATAATGACAGGGTTTTGCTACATTTGATGCTTTTGACCATTTGGCCCGTGCTTGTTGTTTTGTGTGATTTGCAGCTTGGCTGCAAGTTTGCTTTTATTGGCTGCTGTTTGGCAGTCTAGCTGTTGTGCTAGCCTCTGCTCTTTTGTTGTTAATTGCTTTGACTTTCAGCTTAGCTGTTGCGCTAGCCTGCTGTTTTTATAATACTTTGCTGTTTTTTGTGATACTGCCTTTGCTATGTCGCTGCTGCCATGTTGTTCTGTTTGTTGTAGATTTGTTAGCTTGTGCGTTTGGCATCATTTGGGCAGCTTGCTTGCTATGTTGCTGCTGTTTGACCTTGCTTAATAGAAAATATTTGGAAATTTCTTTTTCCCTTTTGTGAACCAAGAAGATCAAATTTTTGTGATTTGCAAAAGTAGGAGGGACCATGAAAATAAAACCTTTGAAAATTCTGATTCCAAAGTGCGAATCCTAATGATGAAATTTCTCTTTTAATAAATAATTCTTGTTTGGAATCTTTTCTCATGTTGATCATTGCTAAATTCTTCTTTTTTTCTTTTGTTACATGAGCAAACGAAAATTGGGTGGCAAAGGCATGGTCAAAAGGTGAAGAAAAAGTAATGGCGAGGAGTTAGGACGAGTTTCTTGAAGATGAAGCAAGAGAAACTTTGAAGAACTAATATTTCCTTTCTTTATAAACAAGACAATGTAACTTGTGCGTCACTTGTAATCTATTTTGTAAATTTCCCACAAAAATGTAATTTGAATGATATTTCTTGAATGAATTTTATGAATTAGGAATTTATTGTATGGAAATCATTCTTGAATCTTGATAAAAATGAAATTCCCTACTTGCATGATTTGAACATGTATCTTGCTTCGTAACTTGAACTTCAATAAAATCCAACGCCTTGTAATTTGTATTTCAAATGAAACCCTGCGCCTTATCTTTTAAACTTCCAATCAAATTCTTGAACAAAACAATGCTTAAGAATTCAATTCCACTTGGTTTACTCGAACTCAAAACAAGTGGTTATCTAAATGACAGTCTTAATCTTCACCTCTTGTCCAAATCAAATTTGCACTCAAAATAAACTCGCACGCCGTGCTCGATTAAAATAGAACTTCATTACCGAACAAACATGCTTTAAGAACCTTCACCAGTCTTGTAGAATTAACAAACTTCAACATGAGAAACATAGTCCTGAGGAAAACAAATTGTGGTTAAGAATATTCGAAATCAAACAAATGACTTGCGACGATTCGATAACTGTCAAAGTCTTCCAAACACAATTTTCTTTCAACCTTTGAAGATAAACTCGTGAGTGACATCACTTATGACCATATGCAGATATAATCGTTGCAAGATCTTGTAATTTGAGGAAATCACAATTCCTAGAAACCAGACGACAATTACTTAAGATTAGGTCAAAATCCAAGAAGCGACTTCTAACGCATTCGAATTTTGGTGATTTTCTACACATAATCAACTCTTGATTTGTGAATAAAAATTAGAGATGACATCGAGGAGAGTCATACGCAAGAAGAACCGCTCAAAAATATCGAATAATGAAGAAGTTACAATTGCTTGAACTTGGTCTCAAAAAAGGTCAACTTTTGGGTCAATGGAGTCATTTTCAATCATCTGAACCCTTGACTGAGCAAACTTGCAATGCGAGGTTTGAAATTCAGCATGAACATCCTTGAGGAGACATGAAGATATATGAAGACCATTTTAAAACTTGAAGAATCAATTTTCTTTGAGAAATACCGAACCCCAATTGTCGACTTACTGCCTAGGAAGAGAATCTGCCTGATCAACTTTTGAGCCAAATTGAGTATTCGAGAAACTCTAGGATAGTATCTTGAATGAGAAATGGGAGGGCAAATTTTGGGGTACAACACTATATCACTAACACTTAT